TGTTCATCACATTCTTGGACGCGATGCTGCAGTCGATGATATTCTCGGCGCCCTTCCGGAAGCTAATGGTGCCGGTGATGATCAAATCGGTTCGCGTGGATCCCAAAGTGATGTTCGCCGCCATCGCTCGCAACCGCTCTAAAGAGGAGATGAAAGAGAAGGAGGCCGTCCAGGAGCAGGTCCGCGAGTGGCGGGACATGAATCTGGATGAGGGCGAACAGGCCGGCTCTATACTGGCCGAACTCGACCAGACCAACGAGATATTGGATCAGCTGTACGAACGCTTCCACATCTACAAGTCGGTGATGCCCTTCTATGTGGACTCAAACGCCAAACTACTGGTCACTCACGGCCTGGAAGTGGAGAATGTGATGGCGTTTCCCATTCCCCGAAAAGTGGACAATCAGGACCTCGGCCTCGACTCATATGAGTTTCTGCCCAACGAAGACCTGTGCGCTATCGACCCGTGCGATCGTCAAACGCTCAATCAATACTTGGAGGTAAGACTTGTTTATTGCTTGTACTACAAGCCTTGTAGAATCTACAATGTAGATTACTATTAACACTACACTCTATACACTTTCATTATAACTGTATGTGGTAGATATAAGTTAATGTGATAATTAGTCTTCATCAGTAATTTTACTGACAAAATGGGAGAGAAACTCGTTTTTGACTTATAATTTATAACCGTAGAGTAAATTTTAATTTATACGTGTTTGCAAAGTATACTGTATGGCACACACAGTAAATGAAGTGATGCAATTGGCACTACAGACTGTATTGTATATTGAATTAGAAGTTTCAAACTAAAATAAGTTACTGTAAAATAGTACAGTAACTGAATAAATGTTTGTTAATTTGGTTTTTAGATCTAAATTATTAAGTAAAAATTCAATAATAAATTATTATCTATGTTGATGTATTAATAATAATTTTAAACCAACTTTATTAGTTGTACATATTTGTATTTATATTTATTAATTGTTTGTAAATAGTTATGCAAATCCATGGCATCTATAATCAAACGAAACGGTGCAGAAAAAATTAAATGCGATTACAATTACCGTAATATCGGCTCAGATGTGATCCAAGGCTACCGAATGGCCAACAATGAGAGTCACGTAATGTTCAGAGCGTTGGACAAAATAATGCAGGCCGTGGCTCAGGAAGACCACAACAACAACAACACCCCCACCGCCATAGCAGACAATAACATCGCTTATAGAGTGTGGGCCGATATGCAGGACAGGCGAGAGTTTGATCTCAACAAAGACCTCATTCATCAGATCCAGCGAAACGAGCGACTCATCCGAAGTCTCGTTGATATCGTCAATGAGAATCTGGTGCCGCAGAAGACGATCAAAGTGTTGGAGATAAACGCGATGGGAGGCGCGCAGGTGTTGGCCCGGGAGGTGGAGAAGTATGTGGCCGACTATCACATGTATCCGATTGATGTCGAGTATAAGCTGGCGGTGACCGCGAAGGAGGGCTGTCCGGAGTCGTTGGCCGACAGGACTGCGGTTTGGGACCCGAAAGAGTCGTCGTTTCCGTACGACGTGACGCCCGTCAACCTGATTGTGATTAGGGATGCGCCCGAACTCTGGCCATTAGATTTGGATCACTTTTGTCAAGAGTTGTCGGACGTGTTGGTCGCCGGCGCCGGCTTTCTAATGGCCGTATTTCGGCACAAGTATACCGAACCCGAACTGGCGTTGAACTCATTGAATGGCAAACGCCTGCTCTCCGACACAGACCTCACCGCCCGTATTGACGCGTTCGCCAAAAGCGCCGCCGACTGCGGTCTCGCACTCGTTGGCCGCAAGTGTGACACAATCGCCACTACGGCTATGTTGTGGCGCAAAGTGTTGCCCAACACCAGTGCCTCAGCGCCTAAGACAATGGCCCTCAGCTCTCGCCGTATCGGCGATTGGTTTGAGCCGTTAAAAGAGGCGCTTTTGGCTGCCAAAGAGGTGGACGAGAATGAGACGGACGCTAACGTTTGGCTTGTGGCCAACGATGACTACACTAACGGCGCCATCGGGTTTGTGAATTGCCTGCGTCTGGAACCGGGCGGCGAGTGTTTCCGCTGTCTCTTCAACTACGACACCAACAGTGAGACTGA